CTCCAGCACCTGCAGGCAAAGCATAGCACCAGAAAGAGCCAGTGGATAGAGCAAGGAGACCAGTGGCGACAGAACTACTCCTTCAGCAATGGCACTGTTTTACAACTGCCTCTCACTCAAGAGGGCACTGGACTCTGCACACGAGATACACGAGAGAACCTTTAGATACTGCATAGTAGAATACTCTAGCAACTCTCAAATTTGAAACCAAGAACTCCAGAAGTACTTTCAGGACCACAAAATGTTCCAAATGGAAGAAGCAGCAGAGAAAGTAGGGAGATGGATCATCTTTCTTCTATGAAGATGTCATCTCCCATGTTTTGGCAGGAGGGTCTACCCAAGAGTTAAGTATGGTTAATATATCCCCCTCCCAAATCCAAACCAGTAGCTAAGACATTAGCTCTATGTTCCTAGAAACTGTCCTGTCAACTCCAGAATCATCTTGTTTTGTTATCATTATATGCAGCACCAGGTCACCTACAGGCTTTAGGTGAGGCTTGTGAGCAGCTACATCAATTTTGGGGGTCCTGCATTTTTGCTCGACGATCACCTGAAAGAGCAGAAATGATGCTTAAGCAAGAGTTCTTTCTCTACTCCTGGTACACCCTCCCATTCAGTGGCACAGTGAACGACTCAAGTCAGGATTTGGGAATGGGGGAAGTGTGGAAGGCATAACAAAACCGAGTTGGGAAGTATAGAATGATGAGGTTTACTTACTTGGGTTTCTGGTAGAGACAGATTTGCCTGTGGCAAACTGGAGGCAATCAGAAGCCCTTTGAGGCTTGCACAAGCAGCATACAACCTTCTAGCCCCAGCAGTTCATGAACTGCTCTGAGAAGCCACTGGAAAACGTTGTACGCAGATTTTAATGTCAGGAGTGATCCTGACAAGCACCATGGTCACATCACATTCATCAGTGAGAACTCAGCCCCAGGGAGGAGAGGAATTCAATGGGTTAACAAGGCTGTAACAAGAACTGCAGCAGCAGGCAGCTGTATGCCTAAGCTAGAGTCCCAGAGACTGGCTTATGCCATACTAAACTATGAACAATAGCAAGACAGAATTGCAGGGCAGGTATTCATGTGAGACTGTCTCCCTCATCAATCCCCGTGCTTGCTGCATAGGGGAGAGCTGACAAAAAAAGCCAAGTTGCACATGCATGTCTTTAGCTGCCTTGTTCACTTATTCTTATTTTGAGGCTATGCCATTTACTTTCCCTGTGTGTACAACTTCAGAACAGGTGGGAGTGCAGGTAGAACAACACCACAGCTTCCCACATGAGCTGTGCTTTCATTCACTTGCAAATCAGTCCACTGTTTGCTAGAGAAACTTTAAAATAGCTTTGCAGATGGGGAAATTCTTGTTTAAGAGCCTTCACAAAGACGTGAGCAGTAGCACTCTATGCTTTCTTCTAGCATTTCTGACTACTACTCTTCAAACATGTTTGTGCTTCACATTGACCACAGAAAAAAAGAAAGAAAAAAAAAAAATCAAGACCCAGTTCATCCTGCCACCTTGAGTTACAGTTCTGTACTGCAGAGTGTGTTGATACACAGTACATTACAAGGAACACAGGTAGTTATGATGTATTGTCTCCTCTCCACTACTATTTATTTATATATCAATCAAGGTATCATTTCCAGAGAAATGCCATAGCCTTATCTGAAGGCTGGAGCCACAGTCAAGACAAGCAAGAGCTGGGGTTTTATAGAGGTGCATGGTTTAGCTGAGGCTTTTAAACACCCTGCACTCTAGCAGCACCAACAAGGAGAAAAAAAGCCAATGTCTAGTGTGGTATGCAAAGTTTTCACTTTTAAAAATATCGCTCTTTATTACAAGTAGAGTTGTGTCTCATCTTCTGCCAAGACGTCTGTTTGCAAAGCACGCCAATGCCACAAAGCCTTATGCCAGTGTTTTAGATCCGCTCATCATTCCCAGCTCAAGCTGCAGCAAGTGAAGAGCATCACGAGCCTTTAGAAACACCCCAGACATTTTTGTATCTGGTTGTCTTCACCAACCATCCACATTGCTGGAAGCCCCTAACACTTGAGTCCGCACAGCAGCTGCCCTGGGAAGGAGCTCAGCTTTTTTTACCCTGACTAAACTCCTGCAGTAGCTCATGCACACTGCCTAGAGGCCTCTGCCTGAGGCTGAGCAACGGACTCACTCAAAAGTGCTTTTGCACTTGCACACATCCCACAACATCCGGGAAGGCAAGGAAACTACTAAGAGATGCCAGGCACAGCTCAGCTCAAGCAGCCTGGGAGGACACAAGGGTCCAAGGTGGAAAGCATAAGCAAGCAAGGGTCTGTTTCATGAAACTGTTGTGTGCAAGGCAGCATAATTGCTCCAGGGAAGGGAGTGGCTGACCCCTGGAGGGAGAAAAAGTTTACCATCCAGCTTCATGAAAGCATGGCTACCTCTGACTTAAAAAGTTACTCGAAATGAAGCACTTGGGTGGAGAAACAGGGTAATCTAATGTTGAGCTGCAGCTGAGAGGGAGACGAAGACACTTCTGGACTTGGAAGTACCATTGAGAAAGACAGGCTTTTGGAAAAGAGGTCTCAATGAGTACTGCTTAGAAATGAGGTAGAGCAAGTGGTTTCAAAGTTGTCTGCTGACTCTAGTCACTCACCTTACGAAGGGTGTACCTCTTGTGCTGAATATCATCCAAAAGTAATTCATACGGAGAGCAGATACATTCTTTTGGAGGCGTGTGACGCTGCAGTCGCTCAGTGGCCTTTCGCAGCCTCACACCATTCTGCAGTTCACGAATGACGTTGGGCTACAGGGATGCCTCGAAGAAATCAGTGAGGGCCAAGTCAACAGCTGGCTAGAACACACAGAGCAGCATCCCCTCCCTCCATGTAATAGGACACACTCAGCAAGTGAAGTAACTCAGAAACACAGAAGCATGTCCTTAACATCCCCTTCAACTCACTTCCAGATCAGGGCACAGTACCAGAGCAGAGAATTGCTTCTCTTTGCAGAAGTTAATTTACAGCGAGGGATCTGGGAACTGGCTCACCAGGCTCATTCCCAAATTTTGCATTAACTTTATGAACATACTTCAGCAAAACACAACTTCTGCTGCCAGGTAGCTAGACCCATTTTCTTGAATACCTACTTCCTGCAAGTGCTCCAGGTGCCAGAGTTTTTTCATATTACTGGATCCTAGGAAACACTGGGAATGAAATCCCAAATCTTGCCATTAAAATCCTCTGAACTTTCAGAAACCAAGAGCTGAAGGGCCCACAGACAAAAGAGAAAGACAAGGGGAAAGGGATCTCATACTTTAACCTTCACAGCAGCATATGTTAGCAGTTTCAGCCTGGAGACACAAGCTGATAACTCTGACATCTGCTCATCCTGTTCCTGTATTAATATCTGAGGATGCTCAGACATGCAGTATAACCCAACAAAAGACAGGAAAAAAATAATCAACTCAATAGCATGTTTAGACAATATTGTAATGGAAGCGCTAAGTCAACAGCTTATCTGGATCCCAACGGCAAACTGAGTAAGAACAAGTGATTGTATTATAAACAGTGAAAGGGAAGCAAAACATTTTAGAACTCTGCCTGAGAACAAAGTTTCTGACTTAAACTCCTATTCCTTCTCCACTTACTGTATGAAGCATCTTCTCTCAACTTATCCCTTCAGCTATCTTGGTATAATATCAGAATAGTCTTATGCAAGCTCTGACTGATGGCTGTCTTCAAGGAGACAGATTTTTTTGTTGGATTGTTTTAGCCTGGCTTTGGTACAGCCATACCTCAACTCCAGAGAACTAGAACTGATCAAGATTGACCATATACTAGCCATATATCCTAGGCTATATTTATTATTGTCTAGGAGAACACCCAAAGTCTCTGGGCAAACTGATCAGTATTAGAGACCTTTGAAATAGTGTACCCTGAGCCATTTGCAGTTTCTACAGTCGTATTTCACATAGTGACAGAACTTGACTGAAAGATATGACCCGAAGAAAGACTTCTGTACTGTAATATTGCCACATGAGCTTTGGGACGAGAATTGCCTTCAGCTGGCCATTTCAGAGCAACTTGCACACCCAAAACATTTTTCAGATGTAAGTGATATTGTTATCACTCATACTTTTCTTTCCATTATTCCACTTGGGCCATCCCATGTATTGTCAAACACCACATAAACTTCCCACACCTGTGCAATACAACACAAAATGCTAAAGCACTCCAAACCCATTGCCTTCAGTTCAACAGATGAGTGGTAAGACAGATGTGTTCCTAAGAGGCCTCACTGCTTAGATTTCAAGGTGAAGGTTGTCTTGTGACATGTACAGATAAGCTCTGCTGGGACTGTACAACCCTGCATGCTATCAGGCTGTGGTCTATGTTTCAGAAGGCCTGTTTCGTAGCCGTCAACATGAAAAAGTATGGTCCATAGAGAGCATTAGCTGCTTGGCACCACTCAAGATATCGGCTCCAATCTGTGGCATCCCAGTGAAGTTGGCATCCTGGTTATTTTAAACTCAAGAGTTTGGCAGAGCAATGCGATCAACTGATGCTTAGGGACTTGGAAACTAGAGACAGAGGATTTGCAACAGACATCCTGCTTTTGGAATTCATGTCTCCTGAAGGAGCAGAGGCCAAATGCACTGGCCTTCAGGCCACACGGCAAAGCCCATGTATTTATTCATGTATTCCCTGCAGAAAAGAGCTACAGTAGTTGATGAGTTTGTGGTTTGAGATAGCTTGCCAGTTTATTTTAATAGATCACAAAATTGAGAATATGCCCAAACACACATTTCACAAACATTTTCATACGAATAGTTTGAGCACGCTTCAAAGCAAGTGCTATTTAGACAAAGGGAGCGAGCCCACAAGTCTCTCGGGGCTTGCCGTTTGTCTCCACAGACTCCAGACTACAGTGCATTTGTTTATGCCGGGCAGAGCTCCAGCCAGAAGAGCTATTTGTTTCTGATAGAGCCCTGACTGTGTAGGGCCTTGAAAAGAACAGAGTAAGTTGCTTTCTCTGCCCCAAACATACAGTCCAAGATCTAGGGAAGGACAGAATGGAAACACAAGAAAGGCAGTCAGCAGAAGGTAGGAGCTACATCTCCAACCTCACCCTCCTTCACCCCTTTCTTTGAGCTGCTGGAGCTGCACAACCACAAAGATGGACAGAGCTACTGTCCTTCAGTCCCATCCAGCCCTGAACCAGCACAGACCCCACATAAGAGTGAACTAGTCCACCCCAATACTACCAACCTGAAAGGAAGTTGTAGTGAGGTGGGTGTTGGTCTCTTCTCCCAAGTAGCAAGCGATAGGACAAGAGGAAATGGCCTCAAGTTGCATCAGGGGAGGTTTAGATTGGATATTAAGAGAAAATTTGTTACTGAAAGAGTGGCCAAGCATTGGAACAGGCTGCCGAAAGAGGTGGTGGAGTCACCATCCCTGGTGGTGTTCAAAAAACGTGTAGATGTGGCACTCTGGGACATGGTTTAGTAGGTGTGGTGGTGTTAGGTTGACGGTTGGACTGATGATCTTAGAGGTGCTTTCCAACCTTAGTGATTCCTAGATTTACTTTCATTAAAAAAATAATGCAGCCACCAAGCCAGGAAACATGAAATTAATTATTACTCTACCCTTAATTGGTTTAGTGGTGGACTTGGTACTGTTAGGTTAATGGCTGGACTGGATGATCTTAAAGGTCTTTACCAACCTAAATGATTCTATGATTCTACCACCAACAGAACAGTTTGCTGGGAGTTTTCAGTCCAGCTACAAGAAAGGAACAGATTGCTTTTGGTAAGTGTCAGTTCCTGCCAAGAGCTGGAGTTTTGGGCTCATTTGCAGGAAGAAACAACCTGAGTAACTACTTGTGGACACTTACTCCAAAGACTGCCTCCAACTTCATTTTTAGAAGTGGTTTAAGTTGAACCACAAAGACAATCTTTCTGTAGAATAAATGTCCACATGAGGTTAACACACAAAATAGTTTAACTTCAAGTTCACTCCCCAGCTTGTTTTGCAGACAAGTCTTTAACTACTTAAGCTGTTGAACAACCTAAGAAGTTTTGTTTATGCTCAAAAACTACTTTTCATAGAAGAGTCAGTGGAAAGCCTCAGGGAGCCAAGATAGACAAAAACCCCCAACCCTCCATAATGAAGGAATTAAAACCCTTACCCAATGTTTTTCCTTCTTCTGAAGGGGATTTTCCACCAAATCTTCCACATCCATTTTTCTCAGACTCTGAGAAACAAGCATATGAGGTCATTACCTTGTGCTGTTCAGTGATTTCCTATCTATCTGGTATAAATTACTAATATTAATCTGAAAAGCCTAGAAGCCTCAAACACCCAAACTTTCAAAAGCTACAATAAATTACTAATATGGTGCAGAAACAGTAGTTTTTCACATCATGAAAACAGACCTTCAGCTAGGTACTCCATTTCTAGTGCAATGGGAAGGTTACTTTAGAACTAGGTGAGTGTGTGAAGGTAGAGGGAATAGCAGCTAAGGGGTGATCCCAAATGTACCTCTTTGGAGGTCTGGATGATGGTCACAAGCTTCTGAAGTTCCATATATTCAGTAAACAGGCTCCTGCAGGTCATTTCATAATGGCTGGTAGCCTCAGAAGGTCTGGACAAGTGCTCCTCACAGGCCTGAAAGAAGTGCAGCTATTTAAAAGAGATCTTGAAATGAAAAAACATGGTAAAATAAAGCAAGATTACATTTTCTCAATCCATGGTGAAAAAAAGGTCTTCCTCACAGCCTCTTTGTATTTTTTTTTTCCTATTGCAGATGCAGAGGAACAAAGCAGCAAGATGCCCATATTGCATGTACAATAATTTAAGTAGCTGTGTAATTTATATATCTTGTTCTCCATAAGGTGTGCTTTGAAATAAGTACCTGGAAGGGGAAGCCTCCTGCACAGACAAAGCACAAAAAAAACACAGCAGGTGGAGTCACTTGTCCTGTTCTTTTCCCCTGCCCTGATCAGACTGAGGGAGGGGAAGTTTCTCATACCTTTAAATTATGGTTGAGAGGAAAATATTTGTTTGGGTTGAGACATTCAGATCCCAGCTCTTGCAGAAACTGAATACTATGGACAAGTGACTTTTTTCAATATCCATAGTCTTCTAGGTATTGAATCTGGAGACTATGTACAGAAGGACTTTGTAGACGCAGCTGTGTGAGAGCCATGCTCAGCTTTCCTTCTTAATTCTTTTCCATAGGCACTTGCATGCAGCTAAGATGGTTTTGCCTTTTTCCTCTGATGGGAAAGCCATGTGCTCCCTCTATGTCCTCCTACAAGCTACCCAGCTTTTTCCCAGAAATGATCTTGCCCCTTGGTTAACAGCATTGTTCCACCAACTCCTCTAAAGCTGCTATATTTATTAAGGGGGAAGAAGGAAACCTTGATAACATCGTGAAGGGTGACTGCTGGTTTCATTGCCTCCTCATCCAGTTTCAACATGAGGCACAGCAGTTTCTCCAAAGGATCACTCAGTTCTCGCTCTGCTTGGCTGTCGATTCCCCAGTCCAGGGCTTCATAGATCACCACTCCCAAGTACTCCAACAGCTGCAGACACAGACCAAGGAGGCAGCGCAGCAAGAACTTCACAGCTCTCACTTCCCAGCCATACACATACCCTCCACTGCCCCCCAGGGCTGAGCACATCTCTCAGGATGAGAAGGGCCCAAAAGGCAGCTAGATGCTCATCGGGTAGCCTGAGATACGCCCTAAATAACCTGTTTTAAGATTTTTAAATGGCCTTACCTAGCACCTCTAAGTTCTCTATTATTAAGACAAAAAGACTGTGGGCTATTCCACAGTAGGCAGCATCTGTGCACATTGTTTCCCAACCCCATTGTCATACTTGAGTTCAGGCCTAGCATTTTGTTTCATTTTCCAGATTGCAGGGAACAGTCACTCTCACAGGGCACAGCGAATCTGAGCACCATCATAGTTTCCAAAGACATCTGCACCTCCTGAGCTGACCTTCTACTACAGCAGGATTATATCTGCACACATAATGAAGGTGAAGACACAGGCTTACCTTATCCTCTGATTGCTGAATGCTGCCAACATCTGAAAGGGAAAAAAGAGGGGTGGGGAAGAAACATAACTGCACAGGCATCGATAAACAGCTTTTAGAATCCCTGTCAAAAGAGAAAAACAGGAAGAATTCTTGGTAATAAGGAAACAAAGCCCTCTGACTAAGGTCAGTCCCACCTTGGGAAAGTAGGCCTATATTTGGGGACTCCTGGAAAGCAAGACAGGATACTCTTCTTATCATGAGCATTAGCCCCAGACTAACTGCTGCTGGGTACTTTTTTTTTTGTTTGCTAATAGATATCTAACCATAAGAAAGGCATTGGATCTTTGTCTTCATTTTTTATTACCCGCTCTTGTCCCTGAAGAGTTAGCCTAGCTTTGACCTCTGCAGCAATACAACCAAGCCCTGCATAAGACAAGCTTGTTGCCACTTGCTGGCTACACATAGTGACAAAAAAGGGAAACTGTCAATCATAGATCTGTCATAAGAGTTACTATAACAAAGGAATCATACATTGGAAGATGAACAAAGCAGGACATATAATAAAGCCTCAGACTATTTATTTCAAATAACATAAGTAGTAACAAACTTTCATCCCAGCTATTCCCTAGAACCAAATGACTCTCTAGAGCACTATTAGAAAAATTAGTAGGCTGTACATCTGTATTACCACTCATCTACAGTCCTTTGATGTGAAGTATAGGCAGCAGAACAGCTTCATGACGACACGGGGTGGGGAAGCATGGGAAAAAAAAATTCACCACTTTGTCCCCACATTTCAGCCTGTTATAGGAATAGCCCTTTGCATCTACAGCTACCTATGCTCTTACCAGACTTGTGGTACACCTTGAAGGAAGCAGTACCGTCAGCATGGATAAAGATGCTTCCAGGACCTTTTATGAATACAGAATGGAGTGGTGGGCACAGCCCCTGAGCCAACTGCTCCATTTTACGGCAACACTGAAAGCAGACAGCCCAAGCTTGCTCCTCACTTATAGGATGTTCAAAACACCTCAGAATATCGGCTAGAGAAACCTTTCCAATCCTCTGCTCACACCGTGGAAGCTCCATTTTCACCTTTACCATCTCCACTCTTAGCCTAGGAAGTTTTACATCCCCCTTTCCAGGACAGGCAAGTGCTGATAGCAGCCTTTTATCAGTTCTGCCTCCTGGTTTGCTCTCACCTCTCTTCTCTACAGGTGTGATCATTCATACCAATCTTGCTCTGCCTTTTTAAAGGGACACCACTTTAATCTCTATTTGTATGAGACTCCTTGAAAGAAAACAGAAAGTATAACAAAATGGAATCTAAAGAGAAGGCAAGATGGTACAAAAATCATGCTCAGTTTAACTCCATTGTTTCTACCAAATATATTAATTGGAATACCAATGTTGGCAGGTAAAAAAAGAGTACATTTAACTTCAGGTGGAGCGGGGAGGAGACAGGAAATAATGTCTTACACTCAGGGGAGAAGAACTCACAGAAGTCCACCAAAATACAATCCATTTGATGGGAAACTATTCTGGAAGCACTAATATGTTACAGCAATCAGCTACCACAGGCCTGGCTCCTGCCTGGCCTTGACCCTTGGGCCCTGCCACAGCAAATCCCAGCAGCTGGGGCTGGGAGTAGTGTGTGCAGGGACCAGGCAGGCTGGGTGGGCTCCCAGGGTAAGGGCAGCAAGGCCCTTCCGTGTTCAAAATGCTGATACGCATTGCTGCTGGTGTGAAGGAAGTTACCCAACTTTTTTCACACTTCAGGGTCTGTGTACGTGATGGGTGGGGACGGGGGTCATCCCCTGAAGAACCCCTGCTGCTGCAGCGCCTGTAGGGCAGCGCAGGGGACCGCGCAGGGGACCTCAGCTTCTGCTGCGCTGGCTCTGAACAGCCCAAACTCCCGAGGCAGACACTGAAGAACTGCGAGGTTTACGAAGTGTGAATAACGCTCGTGATTTGTGTTTCTTGCCCTTCTCACTTACGACATTTTGGGAATGCAACGTGTCAGAGTCAGGCCCCAGGCCTTGGAGAGGTGTCCGGGCCAGCGTGCCTTGGCGTCACCGGACCCTGTGGTGGGCCCCCACGGCCGGGGGGCTGGCGGCCGGGCACTGCCTTCTGGGCTGCCCCACAGGCTTCACCCTGCCCCAGGCATCAGCCCGGCCACC